ATATCACATTAGGCCATCAGGTCTGTTTTCCAGTTCATTAATTCTCTTTTTAGTTCTGCTGTTTGACCCATCTATTTTTTTCTTCAGGTATTATACATTTATTAAAAAAATTTTTTTTTTCAAATATGATTGGTCATTTTTGATAGTCTCTTTCTCCTATCTAATTTTATTTCCTTTTTAATACTTTTAAACATAGTAAATATATATTTACTTTATAACCAGTGTCTAATGATTCCAATATCTGAAGTCTTTGTGTGGTTTTGTTGTGTGTTGTGGCTGCTGAATTTCTATTTCTCTCTCTCTCTCTCTCTCTCTCTCTCTCTCTCTCTCTCTCTCTCTCCCCTCCCCCCTCCGTGTGTGTGTGTGTGTGTGTGTGTGTGTGTACTTATAAATTTTTAATTTTAAAAATTTATGTGGGAATTTTGTGAGGACTGGGTTGAGAGGAGTGAATATTTACTTCTGTTGCGTGCTCGGGACACTCCTCTCAAATAAGATGCTTCTTGGAGTATTTGGGGGCCACACAGATGACTTATTCCAGGCTTATGTGGGCTGGTTTGTCCATTCTAAGTCCCATAGATTTTTTCCCCCCTGTTAACTATAACGCAGAGATTAGACAGTTATCTTTTTAGTCTACTGTTACTAAAAGGTTTTGTTTTGTTTTTTAATAGGTCATCCTGCTTTAAATGCATAGTACTACCGAAGTCCCAGCTTTAGGTGGAATGGGTTTAAGTCTTTCATCTTGCTCTGCACAGGTGTCTGAGGCTCCAGGCTACCTGCATGAACCCCATAGATGCCCTCAGGTTACGCTGCATACTCAGTTTCTTATACCTGCTAGGATTTTCTGCTTCTATTTTGCTGCTGGCTACAAGGGATAGCCCAAACTTTTTAAGATGCTAGTCCATCAATTTAAAAATATTTTGTATGGCATTTTTTAACTCTTTACAGTTGAGGAACTTTAGGATTGTTAGTGTACCATAAGAGTGGAAATAAAACACCAGAAACAGAAAATAAGGCATTTTTGAAGCTATGAATTTCTGTCATACATGTATAATGTATATAATGTAAAGGATAACACTTATAACATCCACTCTCCCATCAACCAGCTTAAGAACTAAAATTCCATATATTGGATTGTTGGAAAAGTCATGAAGTGTTTTTTTCTGTTTTTCGTTGTAAAAATGTGTCATAACTTTTCCGACAACCCAATATTTGAAGCCCCATAATTAACATAGCCCTCCCTCTCTAATAGAGGTATCAGTTATCCTGAATTCTGTGAAAAAAATTCCTTGGCTTTCTTAATTATTTTACAACTTATGTGAATATTTCTTAGAAATAATGTTTACTTTTGCATATCTTCCAACTATATAAAAATGATACTGGTGTAATATATCTGCGATTTCCTTTTTTCTCCCAACTTGTTGAAGATTGTGAGAGTCTATAAAAAGATTTTTAGTTCCTCCAAAGTAAACTACCCATTATTCACAGAATTGTCATGTCAATGAATAAGCACCATAAAACAAATAATTACTGGCAGGCTTGGGGATTTCTGTGCTTTCTTCTTATTGGAAATAGAAATTCACTTGAAATTTGACAAGCTGTCCTCTAATTGGAAAATAAAATATTTACCATGATTACATGGAAGGAAATGCAAATTTTTCTGATGTGCCAGCAGTTTTAGTTTGTATTTGTTATTCTTCTTCCTACAAACCCAATGTCAACCACACAATTCCAGATGAGTTAAAGTTTAAGTTGAACAGGTTTTAATGATAACAAAACTAAGCAGGAATTAAGTAATAACACTACCAGAGCTTCCCGCTTACTTCTATACATAGGCACACAGAATTTTAAGTTGTTAAGAATTTTGAATGGGATAAAATGCATTTACTTTTATTTATCCATTCAGCTTCAAACAGGCTCATCAATCTAACATTTTCTTCCTTTTTGTTTATTTCTGTTTTGGGAGAAAAGCTGAAAAATGTCTGTAAGAATCACACGTCTTAAAAAATCTCTCCCTTTTACCCAGTCTTTTTTCAGATATCTGTGAATTAATTGCTGGAATGACAAGAGCAAAATGCAGAGAACGTAATAAAGAGAGCAAAACTGCTATTTTTTTTGTTTAAGTAAATGTCAACTTTCCATTAAAATTCCACCCACAATTGCCTCTTAATCATACCATAATACAAATTCTGTAACATGAACATAAAAATATACAAAGGTTGGACAATTAAATTCATGAACTTTCCACCATGCACCTCTATGGTGGAAAGTTCATGCACTTAAGTGTCCAAAATCATACTTTATACTTCTCCCTCAGTGCCATTTAATAGGGGTTCTATAGTTACAAAGATTCTTTAGCATAAAATTTACCCATAAATATTTTTGGTGGTTTTGTCATATTTTCAACATATGGAAGTTATAATGTTATTCCTGTTGAGGTTACAATCTTGACAGTCCTTCTGAACCACTTTATTATTTAGCACCACTATATTGTCTTCTGTTTTCCTTATTTGTGACTGCTTTTACTTTTCAACCAGAAACTCAGTTTCTTCTGCTTTCTAATTTCTATTAATTAGTTACTTTCACTAAAATATTGCTGGATACCCATCACCCAACAAATATTTATTGAGCACCTACTGTACAAGGTCTGACAAGTTTGCAAACTTGTTGCAATGATGTTGCTAACCTTTTTTGATATCAGAGGGATTACTTATTTTGAATTTGTACCAACTGGACCAATAGTTAACCAAGTTTACTATTTGGAAGTGCTGAAAAGGCTGCATGAAAAAGTTAGATGAAAATAACCTGAACTTTTCGCCAACAATTCATGGCTCTTGCATCATGACAATACACTAGTTCACATGGCACTGTCTGTGAGGGAGTTTTTAGCCAGTAAACAATAACTGTATTAGAACACCCTCCCCTACTCACCTGATCTGGCCCCCAATGACTTTCTTTACCTGAAGGTAAAAGAAAATATTGAAAGGAAGACATTTTGATGACATTCAGGACATAAAGGGCAATACAATGACAGCTCTGATGGTCATTCCAGAAAAAGAGTTCCAAAATTGTTTTGAAGGGTGGACTAGGCGCTGACATCGGTGCATAGCTTCCCAAGGGGAGTACTTCGAAGGTGACCATAATGATATTCAGCAATGAGGTATGTAAAACTTTTTCTAGGATGAGTTTGTGAACTTAAGGGTGCGACCTCATATGATAGACATTATTTTGAGGACTCAGGGTAAAGAATAAGAAAGACAAATACTCTGCTCTTAGGAAATGCATGTTATAGTGTAGAGACAGGTAATAAAGAAGAAATCAAACAAAAAAGAATGAGATGATGGTTTCATATAGTAATTCGTGCAATGAAAAAAAATAAAGAAATAAATGAGGATTATGTGAAGGAGAGTGGCTGGAAGGTGAGACTCTTCCTTACATTTTTTTTTTAAGAAAAATGTATACAAATTTTACTGCATACCATTAAATTTTATACTGGACCACTGTCTATGAGAGGCATCCAAGAGTTATTTCATTCACTAGGGAATACAGATTTTTTTTTCACTTAGTATTTACTAACGATTAGAGTCTAGATTCTGCAAAATTACTTGTTAATATGAAGATCATTGTCCAGTTGAGTTACTCATGGGTTCTATTTGGCAGAGAAGATAACCCTGAATTTCATGGTTTTATTGTCCTGTATGATAGAACCAGTTTTGTCTCTAACAAAGCAAATTTATTTCAGTTTACCACCCAATGATATATAAGCATCTATTCTCAAAATCTCTTTGGAAAAAGCTTTACCATCTTTATTCTCTTATTAATGAGTTAAAAAATATCATATTCATTCAGCATTAGTATGAGACTATTAAATTTAAATTTTTGAAAATTACAATTTAACCAGAGATGACAGGGAAAACTTTTCTGAAAAAAGGACATGTGTGCTCAAATCTAAAATAAAAACTGAGTGCACGGTTCTCCAGGCAGACAGAACAGGCCCTTTAAAAGCCTCAAGTAGGAATGAGTTTGGAGTGCTGAAGGATCAAATACTGTATGAATAGAAGAGCTGGAATAGGAACTAGTCAGGGTAGATTATGTAGGGCTTTGGGGACTATGAATAATGACTTCAATACACATTTTTAAATGATATTTTCTAGGAAATCTCAATTCATGTGTGCTTGCTTTCACACCTAAAGTAAGTTCCAAAAAAATGGGGTGGGGGAAATCATAAGGATTCACACAAACAAACAAAAAGAGAAAAATAGAAAAGTTACTTTTAATTAAAAATATATATGGAAACACCCTCTGAGGTGATGGTTTCATTTTTATTGATAACTCAGGTTGGTGCAAATATTCCTATAGATCCCCTTTCCTTCTTTGTATTTCTTAATAAAAAAGAGAAACTCCAGATCCAAATTATCCAAGATCTGTAGAGGAGAAAATAAAAGCAGGATACTATGACCAATTCTGCCTTTGATTGATTGTGTTTTTTAATAGTGTTTTAGCTTTCTCACCTCTACATTGAGCATGAAATTGCCTAGAGATCGGTGTGATTCCTTTGTGGAAAGGTTTTAAGACAAAGAAGATTAGCTGTAAACCATCTTGACTTTCGAAAAGGAAGATTCCAGATTCTGTGACTGAGGGTTTATCATTTTCTACCTTGCTTTGCCCATCTATGTTCCCACACATAGTAGGAGGAATAATAACAAGACCAAAAAGGGCAACTATAGTTCCTTATCATTCCCTTTTTGTGACCGATGTTCTGTGCTATCACTATTTCACTTCTTTAATAATAAAAGGTCATAATATCGTGTGTGTTCTATGTGGTCTCATTTTCATGATGTGCCTTATTTTGTTAAGGAAGAAAATGCAACGAATTAACATAAAACTATGGGGTATTTTACCTTTTTTCCTTTTTTTAACTTGCTGGCTTGTCCTAGTTTCTTTATTATTGTGTGCTGACCTTTTAGCTAAGTTCATTTTCAATTTCTATTTTGTTTTCCCAGTGTCATGGAAAGTCTCAACTGTCACCCAGATGGCAGAAATCCACCAGAAACTCCAAACTAGGGAAATCCCAGAGTTGAAAAGAATGATCTTTTTAGAAAAGAACACCTTATCAAAATAAACATGCTCAGGGATACAGGTATGCTGTTAAGGAGAGCTGTAGAAAATTCTGAGATAAGGGATGGTAAAAACAAGAAATGCAGGCATAATTAATTATCAGAATAACAACTGATATTACAGATGTTTCAAAGCTCAGCTTCTGGATGAAATACATATTAGCATACTATTCTGTGCCTTATGCCCCTTTAACATTGTTTTCAAAAACTGTAATGACAATGTTCAAGTATCCATACCACATGAGGATACATTTCATGCCAAAACTGGTTTAGGAATTCTGCAGATCAAAGGAGGAAGGTATGCTGTAGCTAAGGACAGACACTTCTAAGACACCTTGCAAGGATGAGTTCAGAACTGTGTGCTCTTTTGAACACTGTCTAGATATTGACAAGAAGATTCAAATAGACTCTGCAAACAATTGAGCCTTGGGGACTGCGTACATCTTGAGAAGTAACGTGAATGGCATGTATCTGAGCAATCCACTCATATCTGAGCAAACCTAAGCAATTTATATTTCCTGCATGTCAGCTTGAATGGGAAGTTGAAAGAATGGTGATGCTTCACTCTCATCTTAGATGAAAAGCATGGGTAATCATCTATTTACACATTAATTTATGTCGAGTAAAGTATGTCGAGTAAGAAAATAGGACCTCCATATACGGCTGTTGAGGGTATAAATTGTTACAGACTTCCATGGAGGACAATTTGAAATTTATATGCAAAAGCTTACAAATATTCATGATCTTTTACTCATCAATTTTCAAGGATATAAGAAGACAGATGTTCAGGATTAGATAACTGTGTTTATAACAATGGAATCTGGAAAGAGCCTACAGAGCCAGAAACAGAGATGTTAAGTATGGTTCATTCACACAATAGAATACTTCGTAGCATATACAGATGATAATAAAGATTTATAATTATTCACCTGGAAACCTGTTTTGAAATTATAAAATTAAGCTACAAAATGTTATTTAAATAATGATCTCATTTTGGTAACAATATATTTTTATTCACTTGCTGGTATGTATGAATTAAAAACTTTTTCAATCATTGGATGATATTTTTGGCTTTTTCATTGGCTTAAACTTATATACTTCCCACTCTTTCCAGTCAGAACTTTTTGGTCTACAATGTCATGTTAAGATTCTATTATAGATTATGACAAAATATAAAGCATATATTTTAGCTACTGATTGTTGAATAAACAAATGTCGGAGCTAAAAAGTAACCATTTCCTATTTTTCAGGAAGTCTGCTTTCTATGGTATTGATGGGGTGTTGGCATGGCTGGAAAATCTACAATGTCCATATTACACGAATGACAGCTTGTGTTGGCCACCAGCTGGAAGCCAGCTGTAGCTGTCAGAAGCCTTGGTTTTCCTACACATGGAAGTCTCCATGTGGATGTTTGATCTCCCTGTTAGCATGGCAACTAGGTCTCAAGAAGAAGCATTTCATGAGTCAAGAAACAGAGGCTACCAGGACTCTTTAGATATGCACTCAAAAGTCCCAGAAAGTCACTTTTGCTATTTATCTGCCAAAGCCAATCACAAGGCCAGTCCTGATTCAAAGAGAGAGGAGTGAAGTGGTCATCATACAAGAGGAGGGGAATTGGGGCCATTTTTGGAACCTAGCTACCACAATTGGAATATGCCAATTGGAAGCACCTTGGAAATGAATTTCCACGAATATGTGAAAAATTGAGCTGAATTTTCCACTCAAAAGGAACCCTCAGAAGTAGTATGATCTCATTTGGCTGTCAAAAGAGAAGAGGCTTCTATTATCTTTGACCAGATTTTGGCTGGGCAGAGGAGAAGAGCAAGGAAGTGGAAGAATTTCCTTCCTGAACCAAGGCCAAATATTTTAAGTTCCTCTGCTGCACACCAACGTTACTCCGCACAGTGAAAATCTATCATCTGCTCTGTACAGAGGAATGGGGCAGAGACCTTTGGCCTACGTAGATTTTTCTCCTCCCCCAAACTCTGAAGAAAGAACAAGATTTCTGGAATGGATGGATTCCAAGGAGAAAGGCATTCAGAACCAAAGGAATTTCTCTCTTTAGGAGCTGAGCACTGGGAGACAGGAAGTGATCCGAGTATATTGTGAGGAACTGTGCATTTTGTGGTAGAGGCTGGCAAGGAGAACTAAGGGGTAGGAACAAACCACATGAGGGAGAAAATTCTGCTTCATAGAAAAGGAAACTCCTGAGAATCTGGGATGCCCTACATTAACAACAGTCGCTGTGGTCCTAGTATTTGTATCGCTTCAGAAGTAGAGAGACATGAGTGAAGGGTACATTGCTTTCTAGGTTCAGAGTCTATAAGCCTCCTAGGTTAGATTTAGGGGTTATAGTTTTATAAGTATTACATGTGTATCAAGAGAATCCTGTATGTATGCTCCAAAAGACCAACTGTAGCTTTTGTGTTTGATTCACTTCTTTGAACACTATTCTATATCAAAAGAGGGACAAGAATGTGTCTATTCCTAATCAGACAGATCTAGGGCTTCATAATCCATTGTGAAATGTGTTTTTTCATCCTGTGATCATATCAAAGATTTGTTTGCAGTTCTTCATGGCAGGTTTCAGTGACCAAGATATGCCTGTACTAAAATAAATGCTAAGGAGTAAAATGGTAGAGTTTAAAAATAAAATCTCCAGGGCAATATATGCATGTTTTCCACACATGAAATTTAAGAAAACACAAAGACATGAAAGGAAAACAATATTGTTTTCCTTGCTAATGTAGATCCTTAGTTATCCCATAGATTGCAAATACAGTCGTAGGAAATATTAAAAAGCCCATTTCAATGTAGAGACATCATCATATGGCTTTTGTAAATATAAAGCCCAAATATCACAATGATTTTTTCCATTTACTTCTAATATGTATGAAAATTAAGCTCTGCTACAACATGAAAATTTCATAAAATATTTATGACCTGAGCAGTCTTTGTTGATAATAGCAAAACATGTGAGGTGTACAAATTAGCTATCACATGGCTAAAAAAGGCATGTGTGTGCCTTTAAATTTATGGGAGAATTTAGGCTACAAATCAATGTAGGTTTTCAGCAAATTTGATCCACAGTAGGGTCCAATATTTTTAGTCCGTTCCATTTCCATAGGTCACTGTGTCAAGATATGGTGCATATGTTTAACACATTATGAAATATGATTATTGACTGTGACTTGGTTTAAACTGTACTTAGTTTGGGATGGAACTCTGGTGTGCTAGCATCTAAACAAACTCAAGAAACTTTCTAACTTTTTTGCTTACAAGCCAAATACTTTGAGTTCTCTTCCTTATAAATAAAGTGGTGCTATAATACCTTTATTTTAGGTGTATTGTTGAGATTAAATTAAATGATATAGGCAAAGTGTTTAATACAGTGGGTGGCACTTAGGCTTGCAGTAAATGCTAGTGCTATTTCATGTTTGTCTTATGTTTACCACCAACTTGAGTTGAGTTATGCAAACAAATATGATCACTTAAAACATATGCAGGAAAGACTCATTTGTCTGAGCTTGAAGACTTAAGCCTCAAGTGTAGCAATATCAAAGCTTCAAATTGCTATTCAGGGTTCTAGCAATTTCATGATCTCTGGAGGCAACAGATTCCAGAATAAAGAGCCCACCACACTGAGAGTGTACTCTCACTCTAGGGTCCCCTGTGTTGCAAGAAAAGGTGTGAATGAATGTATATGGGAAGAACCATGTTGGTTTTTGCTACCATCACCATTTTTTCTGTTAATCTAAGTCTATTTTAGAATAAATGTTTATTTTAAAAAATATACTCTGAGAAAACAACTAAAAATGAGAATATACATACAGACACATACACATACATTTTAAATTGGAAAAGTTCAACAGTGAAATTTGGAAATAGATCTGGTGAATTATGAACTGGTTACATAAACTGAGTGGTCCATAAATTATAGCACATACTATATTCTCATTAAAGACACACAACATGTGGAACATTCTGATATATGGAAAATTATTCATAAATGAAATACAGAAAAGCAAAATGAAAAGCATAATAGCACGTTTACTCTAGGTATAACAATTCCAAATTCAGCTATATTCACATTAAAAATGATTTTAAAAGGATATGTAACAATAAGGTAACGGTATTGCAAGTCTGTAAATATTTTCCATGGATATATCAGATGTAATATTCTTAGGAAATATTTGCTTATTCAGATGGAAGAAATCCTTTCCTCACTCACACTAGTTATTCTGAATATTTTTCTTTTTCTCAACCTAACATAGATTCTTGAGAGAGACAGTACCCTCTCTATTTCCTAATACAGTGTCACCCAATAACACTATTAGCTTGAGACTTGGTATAAAGAATTCAATAAAAGTTTATTAAATAAAAAACATAATATATTTGTTAGATCTCAAAATCTTTTCTAGACTTTATTGTTTAATATCATAAACATTTAAATATATTTGTAATTTTTTTTCATTTTTATTGTTATAATATACAAACAGAAAAGTAGTCAAAGGTGTTCATCTTAATGAATGGTGTAGTTCTAATTGCCATGTAGCAAATATTCACTCATTCTATCTTTTTTCCTCCACAAACTTCATGGGAGAAAAATACTTCACATTTTTTTATTTTGGACTTGGCCGTGTCACTGACTCTGGTCAATGAGTTGTTGTAGACATGATGTAAAGAGAGGCTTGGAATGGGTTTACACAATTGAGTTTGACTGCATTTCTCTCATATGAGAAAAATATAACTTGAGTAGCCACTGGTCCCTAGCAATAAAAGGCAAATGAAACAAACCTGGAGCAGCCCTCTTTTTGGAGCCAAATTAAAGCCAGCTGAACCTTGCCTAGATCAAAACTAATCCACAGATCCATGAGAGAGACATAAATGATGACTGTCATGTGACACTGACTTTTGGGATGGTTTGTTACACAGCTTTATTATGACAATTATTGACTGATGCAATTGACATTGCACTGAATCTATAACAACATGAGGGGAATTGACATCTTTGTATAGTATTGAGTCTTCCAATTCATAATTGCGGTTTATCTTTCTGTTCAGTTAGGTCTTCTTTAATTATTCTGAATAATACTTTGTTTTCTAAGTGAATGTCTTCAAAATCATTGATTAGATTCACTAGATTATTTTAATGTTCTTATAAATGGCCTATTTAAAAAAAATTCAAATTAGGGAGCATTTGAGATCTTGCTCTCCAGCATACATCATTAGTTTGACTCAAACTTTTATAAAAATTAAAAAAATAAATAAATAAAATTGATTTTTTTTGATGGAATATAAAAATTATATTGGGTTGTCGGAAAAGGCATGACACATTTTTGCAATGAAAAACATAGAAAAAATACATCATGACATTTCCGACAACCCAATTGTATCCAGAAATACTGCTAATTTTTTGAGACTAGCACTTTATTTGTAGGCTTCTTAGGATTTTCTATATATAATCATGTTGTCTGTAAATAATGGCTATTTTATTTCCTCCTTTGCCACCTTTATATCTTTCATTTCTTTTTCATGTCTTTTGTATTGACTAGAACCTTCAGCAAAATGTTTAATAGAAGTGGAAATAGTGGAATAGTGGGTACCCTTTATTTATTCATGATCTGTCACAGGTTGGGTGCCCTCAGAAGCAGATGAGTGTGCAGGAAATCTGTCAGGAGTGCCCTTGGGATCTACCTCTGTGGATGAGATGGAGTGAAGGGGCATCAGATTGAGAGACAAGTAGTCTATTATTTGATTTCAGTGAATGCCTCAGCCAACCTTTGAGGAGCTATGAAGCTGACATATCTCTTTAAAGTTGCTCTAAGTGGGAGAAGGAGACCAGGCTTTGTATCTCTGTATTGACTAGTAATTGGTTGAAGACTACCCATTGAGGAAGGTCATGTGACTTTGGATGAGGTGACTCTTCAGTCAATACATTTCCTAAAGAGGGTAGGCAACTAAAGTCTTTCTACCTGAAGTACTCCCAGAGATTGGGGTAATAAGTCCTTCAGTTCTGAAGGGGTATATAGACAGCATCCACTGTTCAAGCTTTTATGGGGAAAGATTATACTTTCACAATATTTGTGCCTTAGTGTACCTTAAACAATACACGTAGCAATAAAAACAATGATAACAAGGAAGAAAACAATAATAAGAGTAACCAACATTTCTGTAACAGGATGTAAAATGGTACTTTTTCCATTGTCTCAGAATTTCAGCTGAAGGCCCCAGTTGAATGGCAAATCACATATTTTAAACAGTGTCACTTCCATGTAGGACTTACTAAAAGGTATGTGGCTTTGTGTCCATACTTCAAATAGCCTATGTAAGATATCATAAGAAACTTGAAAAGAAAAATTTTCTCTGTCATAGTTTTTCCTACCTTTAGACAAAATGGGCGACTTTCTAAAGAGATTTTTATTATTGCTGTTGTTTTGCTTTTTTTTTTTTTTTTGAGAAGAGATTGGAATTGTATTTCCCAGCTGGGTATTTATTGAACTGCAGACAGAAATGCAGTGCCCTGCCTTATACTACTCTTGCTGAAGTATAGAGCATTTGGGGAGGAATATTAATAGATTGGTCTGGGGAATTTTAAAGTTTGAGGTGGGTTAGAGCTGTCCATAACAGCAGAAGGAGCAAAGATGGCAGTTTTGGTATTAACAGCATCGATGCAAATGTCCATGGGTCAAGTCAATCCAGTGAAAAATAACCACCCTGGGCCACCTTGACTGGCCTGTCGAAGAAGGTTATTTATGGAGGATGAAAATCTTAGCTGAAACAGCCTGAGGGTCACCACTGGGAGGAGAGTGAAAGGTGCAAAGCTAAGAGGGGTCATGAGAGGTCAGCAGAAAAGGTCCTCATCTTCTGTGTCAGGACAGGGTAGATGTAAAGGAAGTCTCCAGGCAACCCTCAAATGTTCTCTGGGGAAAGGGCCTGCATTTAGAACCTGACATAACTGAGGACATTGATAGATTATAATAGCACCAGACAAGGAAGACTTTTACCTTTCTTTTTAACTCCTCTCCACTAACTATCCTCATTCTCACTCTCTCTCATCCCCATGACCCTGGCTGGGGATATCAGTACCAGGTCAAAAAGGGGAGGAAGGACAAAAGACCAACAAACCTTCTCGAGTCGTAGATGTGGTCTGAGCTGATGGGAGTAGGGGCCTAAGAGAGGAGGGGTGGCAGTGTGGGGCCAGGTACTAAATTAAATATGATATTAAAATTTTGATTTTGTCTAGATTTTTAGAAGTATGACTGTTCTTAAAGCTCTAATTTTCTTAAAAACTACTACGTCTGTTTATAGTATTACCAAGATGTAGAAAAGGATGATCTAACTTACTGCTTAAAGGTAGTGAAAGAAAAATATAGCCCTGATTTTCTACAACTTTCAGACGGTAACAACTACAGCAATAACCAGTAAAAATAATCGCTAACCTTGGTTCAGGGTTTTACCTTTTATGAAGCACTTTCTCATGGTCTAACATATATACATTATATTCTTGGTCATCCTCAATACAATGATGATCAATATTGCTTTTCTTTCTGCTTCAGGATCTTGGAGCAATGTGTAACCTCTTCCTAGAGTACTTCCTCCTATTTTAACCTAGTTATTTCTTGCTGACATTTCCAATCAACTGTCTTCTCTTCGAGGAATCCATCTCTGACCCTTCAGTCAGATTTACTCATTCTGTGCTTTCATGGCACCCACTAGCTCCACTTCATAATGCTTTTCACAATTTTACTGTAAAAATTATGAAATTAATTAGTTAATACCTATCTTCCTAGCTAGAATGTTAGCTTCATCAGGGCGTACCCTAGTGAATTTCGTGCAGACAATAACAACAATATTGTTAATATTGTTAATAAACATCAGAGCCCTCCACATATTAGAAGCTCAATATGTATTAGTTGAATAAATGGTGAAACGAAAGAAAGAACTGATATGCCTTGAGATTCCTTGCTCCTGACTAAGAAGCATTTCTTTGGATTCTAAGGATGGTAAAATTGCAAGCCAAAATGCCTTCCTGACAGTGAATTTGTAGATTGATTTGATATTTTATTTTACTACAGCCTGTTAGGGACACTGAAGTGGGTGAGGAGGACCGTCACTTGCCATGAGGTAGGTGTGGGAAGAAGAGACAATGTAGATGGCTGAAAGGGATGCGTCACAGGTGAACCATTAATTTTTTCAGCCACTCTTTTCATTAGTAAGAATGGGAGTCCCTTCCACCTTCATCCCTACAAAGATAATGGGGGGGGGTCAACATTTTTTTTTTTAAGGGAAATTCTTTGGTTCCTTTGAAGGAAAGTGCTATGTGAGTCCATGACTAATCAAAGGGAAAAATGTCAGGCTAACATCAAGGACAATGCTTTTGATAATTTTTAAAAAGGTTATGCTTGCTATCTTTTATTCTGCAGTCAATTATACGCCTTCGTTTTTTAAAACATAAAACTGAGCAGCTGATATTTCTCTTTTTAATGGCATTTTATTACCATGAAATATTGAGCATATTTTCCCAAAGAATTATTAGAAAAGATCAACCACCCATATATTAAAACTTATGAGACCACTATATCTCCTCCTTGGCATTTTAAAACACTTTAATTAGCTTGGTAATGTTTTTGAATTCTATTCAGTTTAGATTATTTCCAAAAATACATAAAGGTTTACCCTGAGGCTTCCAATTAAGCTAAAGCAAGTTTCATTTCACTGAAATGTTATTTCTTCTTTGAGTTTTGAATATGATGATTGTTAAAAATTTTTTCTAGAGTCAGAATATTATCCACTCAATTTCCTTTCTAAGTGGGTTGGCTTTTTAATCTTCAGTTGTTGGTGGCTACCTTTGAACTGATCAAGTAAGAAACACCATAAAACATAAAAGGAAGCAAGTTAAATAAATAAATTTCAGGATACATATATCAAATCATTGTACACCTAAAACTATTATGATGCTATATGTCAATTATATCATAAATAAATAGATTCCAGGAAACTCTCCCCTGAAGGGTCACTTGTTTAAAATACAATAAATGTGGTCAATGCCATGTGTGTAAACTAAATGCATCACCTTAATGAAATAATTCAATTCAATTATTTACTTTTATTGATAATCAGAGATTTTAGTGACCAATAACTACATGCCTAATGATTATAAAATTATGATATAATATTCATTTAATCATAAATAAGTTTATGAGTCAAAACATATGATTATTAAGTTTATGAATAAAAGAAACACTTTCCTTCTATTAATCTGGTTTAATTATAATTATGGGCCAAATCTTTCTTGGGAAGGTAATCAAAGCATGCTACCATGCTGTTAAAGTTTCAGAA